TTAAAAGCATCAATTCATCAGCACTCAGCCTTCTTTACAATTCAGCTCTCTAATTATATATATATATATTTATATTTATAAATATAAATATTTATTTATAATATATATTTATATTTATAAATAAAATGTTTATTTATTTATAATATATATTTATTTATAATATATATTTATTTATTTATATTTATAAATATATATATATTAGGCTGCTTGAAGTGGTCATACTGGCTCCTTGACGCTTACCAGGTGCTTTATTCATGCTTTTCATTCTTTTTTCCTTCTACATTTTGAACAATTTGTTATGTCTTCAAGTCATTAATAGTTTGTTGTGAAATATTTAGCCTGCTGTTGATCCCGTTCAGTGTATTTTTCATCTCATACATTGATGTTTTCATCTCCTTAGTTTAATTTGGGTCTTCTTTTTTTTTAATGTCATTTGTCTCTCCCTATGTTTTTTGAACATGAATGTCTTTTAAAATACAGTTGTAATCGCTTTTTTAATGTCTTTCTGTGAATTCCAGCCTCTGTGTCTTTCTAGGTCAATTTCAGTCATTAATTTTTAAAATTATGGATTGTGTTTTTCTTTGTATGTCTGATCATTTTTGTTTGGATGTCAAAAATTTGAATTTTATTTTACTGAATGCTAGATATTTTTATATTTCTATAAATATTTATGTGGCTTGTGTAATTACATGGAAACAATTTGATCCTTTCAGGTCTTGCTTTTAAGATTTGTTGGCAGGATCAGGTCCATGTTTAGTCTGGAGCTAATTATTTCCCACTACTGAGGCAAGACCTTTTTGAGTCCTGTATGCAGTCAGTGCCCCATGAATTTGAAATTTTCCGGCCTGTCTGGTGGGAACATTGACTATTCCTGGTCCTGTTTGCACGCTGAGTCCTGTGTCTCATTTTTACGTGCTGCTTTCCTTCGCCTCAGTTAGTTTCCTTGTGAGCCTACCCTCATCAGTGCTCCACTGCACACCCAGAGGGTGTCCTCTTAAGATCTCTGGCCTTCTCTCCCTGTGCAGCTCTCTCCTCTGGTACTGTGTCCTTTGAACCTAGTTGCCTTGGTCTCCTCAGACTTGTCAGCTTCCCCTCATCAACTCAGGGAGTTAGCTGGACTCTGCTTAGGAGAGGACCGCCTGTGCTATGGCCTGGAAACTAAGGCAGTTAGCTGTGCAGGCACTTGTTTCTTGTTCTTCCAGAGATCAGTGTACTTTATTACCTAATATTCAGTATTTTGAAAATCATTGTTTCCTATATTGGGTTTATTTTTTAATTGATTTTGTTTGTGTTTAGTTGTTTCAAGTGTGAAAGTAAATCTGGTCCATATTTCTTCATCTTGGCTATAAGAGAAAATCTCTTTAGTCTGTTTTAAAGAGTAAGAATTGCTGGCTCCTAAACTTTCTTTCTGGGGCTTTCCTGGAGGCTCAGTGGTAAAGAATGTGCCTGCCAGCACAGAAGACTCAGGAGATGTGGGTTCGATTCCTAGGTGGGGAAGATCCCTGGAGTAGGAAATGAACCCAGTTCAGTATTCTGCCTGGAAAACCCCATGAATACTGGAGCCTGGCAGGCTTAGTGACTAAACAACGACAAGGATTTCTTTCTACCTTGAGCTCGTTGATTTTGTTTTACATCTGTGACAGTTCCATTTCCCATTTCCACAATATCACACCCTCAGAATACTTAACTGTCTACTGTTGGTGCTTGGAAGGTTTCTTGGGATTACCTTTGGGTTATGAGTGAATCTTGTTTATCATACAAACACATATTACAGTGATGGCAGTCAGGGTGTAACAGCATGAAAATGGGTGTGTTCTCTAATACTATTCTTAACATATTCAGAGCTGTTATAATCCAGTTTTTTAGGATGTTGTTAAAGAATTTCTTTTAGGAACTAGGTAAATGAGACTTTAATTGGAATGCTTAAAATAGAATGCTTCTTTTATGGTTAACAACTACGGAGCTCTGCAACTAACATTTATATTCTAAAGTAATTACAGCAACTTCTCTTTCATTTCAGTGGGTAATATTCAGCATAAGATATTTAACTGTAAGATAGGCATGTCAGATCTCTCAGACCTGTATTTTGCTTAAAGGAAGGAGAAAGATGACCTTGGCTTTAATGCAACCGCTTAATAGTTATATTACCATATTTAAATTAAACCTTTTCATTTCTGGACCTGTTTTTCCTAGACAAAATGGAGATTAAAAACAGCACTGTTCTGAAAGGATAGCATGAGAAATGTATAAAAATACTTTATAAATCAGTATTTTTTCAAGATTTTTGGATCACAACTCACTTATAAACATTTTGTGTGGCTAGCTCATGCATATGTGTATATGTGTATGGATTTACAATACAAAATTTGCTACTGTACATAATGTATGCCAATATTTCCTGTTCTGTTTCATTGAAAAGTACACCTTAGGTGTGTGTCGGTGCATTCACTTGGATTCAATTCTTTGTAACCCCATGGATTGTAGTTCCCCCCAGGCTCCTCTGTCCATGGAATTTTCCAGACAAGAATATTGGAGTGGGTTGCCATTTCCTACTCCAGGGGATCTTCCCAACCCACAGATCAAACCTGTGTCTCTTGGCGTCTCCTGCATTGGCAGGCCACTGTGCCACCTAGGAAGCCATTAATGGATGATATCTCAGTTTCAAATACACTGTCTGTATAAAGAAAGAAATTATGAGGTATCATATTAATGAAAGGTTGAAGTATTTAGATTATTTCATTCAAAATATTACCAAGTTTGAATGTAGTATAGTTAAATATGTGTAACTTTATTAATAATTTATTCAAAATTATATCTCCACATTTTTAGTTTTAGTCTTTCTTTCCCCTGATAAACAAGCTGGTAATAACTCATAAATAACTTAGAGCGATGTCTGTAAGTTTTAAACAATGAAATTTAAGTGGCTTCTTATGTAGAGAAATAGTTTTGAGACATGTTAAAAGTCCTGGAACTATTATTAGCTTTGCATCCTTATTTTTTACTTAGTTTTCTTAATATTAATTTTTTTCTTTATTTTTTCTCTATCACTTAAAAGATTTAAGATCAGTAAAACAGATGCCATCATAGTAAAATTTATTTGTGAATTAAGCATACATGGTTATCTTTTGGTTAACTAAAGTAATAAATGGCTAAGGATAGTAAAGTCCATTGTTTGTGATCCGCCCAAAGAAGTTTGAATCTATCCTACATTTTGTACAGATATGTGCCACTTGGGGGAGGGGGAAATCACAGCATGTTACACAGAAGGCATCCAGATTTTCCAGATCAGTAAGAAACTGATGAGGATCGTTGTTCCCCTGTGACTTTGTTCCATAGGTTCTGCTGCATTGGTAGAAACCAATTCTATTTCAAGCTAGCTGTAGTATCACATATTCTCCTTGACAGACACTTCTTTAGTAGAGTAGTTCTCTCTGCAGTAGAGGCCTTCCCTGCTTCCTGTCTCCTCGGTTTAATCTTCTCTATTTCTAGAATTAAGTATCCTTAAAGTTTAGAAATAAACATGGAAGAACTCACATAACTGGTTGTGGTATGAACGATAGCATGTAATTTTGTAAATTTATAATGGATTCTTTGGAGAAGGGAATGGCAACCCACTCCAGTATTCTTGCCTGGAGAATTCCATGGACAGAAGAACCTGGTGGGCTACAGTCCATGGGGTCGCAGAGTCGGACATGACTGAGTGACTAACCCACCCACCCACATAATGGATTCTTTAATTTTTTTCCTGCAGATAAACATGTTCATGTTTTTCTTTATATAGCCTCCAAACCTTTCCAGACTTGTATGAGATCTGTTGCTGTGTAATACAGTGGAAATAATTATGTGATCTAATGCTCAAATAATCTACTGGAAGAAAGACTTTGGATATAAAAATGTTTCTTAATGTGTTTTCCAGATGTCTGTGGCCTTCTGAAATTGCTTCCCCCCCTACTTAATTTTAAGTCTCTTAGATTCAGTAAGTTGAGCTATAGAAATTAATAAAGTAGAATGCTTGAATTGAATAAACAGTAAGAAAATCTCTCTCTCTAGAAAGCCATTACCAATATAACAAAAACAGTTTATAGAAGCTCAGCTCCCAAATGGTGATATGTTATAGTTGGGAAATAGTAAGTTAATTGAAATACTATGTTAGTACAGAGTTATACGTGATGTAATTTGCAAATAGTTAGGGACCGATATGGGCTTCCCTGGTGGCTCAGAGGTTAAAGTGTCTGCCTGCAATGCAGGAGACCTGGGTTCGATCCCTGAGTCGGGAAGATCCCCTGGAGAAGGAAATGGCAACCCACTCCAGTATTCTTGCCTGGAGAATCCCATGGAGGGAGGAGCCTGGTAGGCTACAGTCCATGGGATCGCAAAGAGCTGGACACAACTGAGCGACTTCACTCACTCACTCACTCACTCACTCACTCACTCACTCAGAGACCGATATAATCTATGTAACACAAACTATGCTAAACATAATTTTAATGTTTCTGTGATTCATTCAACTTATGGAAATGTAGATATTCTAGTTGAAAGTATTACATATATTTTAGTGTTTCAGAAGGTATTTTTCTTAATACTTTTCCCCAGCATTAACTGAATATTATATTTTAGTGGCTCTCATGGTGCTCTGCTTATGATATCACATAGCTAAGTTTACTAAAACTGTCAACAGTTTGATATACTTAAGGAAACAAAATTCTGATTGATTTTGATGTGTTTCTTTCAGAAAAATCAACACCCATGGATTTTATCTGACTGTGTAGATCAGGTTTTTTTATTCTGGATATCATGGTAACAGTACAGGAAATATGCATTATTTCTCATGTCTGCAAGTAGTCTTCACTGCTGAAGGAAGCAATTTTTTAAGCTACAGCCAAATTCATTTGGTACCTTTTATGGAAATCTTGATTTTGTTTTTACTTTTTTATAACCTTTTGCAAAGGGTATGAACAAGCAAAGAGCTCATCTCATTAGGCAAGTCCACATTAATAAGAATGCCTAGAAGAGGGTTGATTCTTCAGACCCGGACCCACTGGCTACTATTGGGTCTTGCTTTACTCTGCAGTTTGATATTATTTTTATACCTTCTGGAGTGTGCCCCCCAGACTGATGGAAATGCATCTCTTCCTGGTATCATTGGGGAAAATTATGGTAAAGAGTATTATCAAGCCCTCCTACAGGAGCAAGAAGAACATTATCAAACCAGAGCAACCAGTCTGAAACGCCAAATTGCCCAACTGAAACAAGAACTACAAGAAATGAGTGAGAAGATGAGATTTTTGCAGGAGAGAAAGAATGTAGGGGCTAATGGCATAGGCTATCAAGGCAACAAAGAACAAGCACCTAGTGATCTTTTAGAGTTTCTTCATTCACAAATTGACAAAGCTGAAGTTAGCATAGGAGCCAAACTACCTAGTGAGTATGGAGTCATTCCCTTTGAAAGTTTTACCTTAATGAAAGTATTCCAGTTAGAAATGGGTCTCACTCGCCATCCTGAGGAAAAGCCAGTTAGAAAAGATAAGCGAGATGAATTGGTTGAAGTTATTGAAGCTGGCTTGGAGGTCATTAATAATCCTGATGAAGATGATGAACAGGAAGATGAGGATGGTCCCCTTGGAGAGAAACTGATATTTAATGAAAATGACTTCATAGAAGGTAATGTGAAAAATGTGTTGGTCCATTAATGTTAGTATGACAATATTCTGTTATTCTATGCTGATAATTTTCCCTGGGAAATAGAAGAAATCTAAGCTTATATAGCAGAATACTTCCCAAGTTGAAGGGCTCTTAGGGTTGTGTATGTATTTGCATGTATATGTATTTGCATTCATCTCTGAACTGGTTTTGATGTTCCTTTTTTATATTTTTTTAAATGTATGAACTAAGGCTCAAGATTTGAAAACCATTTGCTAAAGGAAAGAAGAACCTAATTAAGATTAGTGGTTATTCTGTATTTTGAGTGGAGGAGAAACACGTGTCAGAACATCAAGGAGGCGTACGTAATTTTGAAAAGCATATTTGGCGTTTGGGAAAGTAAAGAAATAAACCCATTTTCTTAATACAGACTGCAGAAAGGGCATAGCATTTTTATATGTCAAGATGGGACATGGCTCAAAAGTTGAGGAGCACTTATATACACTTAAGAAATTTGTGGATTGATGTAATTATAGATTATATCAGGAATAATTATAGACCCCAACCCATCTCCATCTTATACCCCATGCTAGATATTTAATTGTAGGCTTAAAGCCGCTTTGAATACAAATATTTCTTAAAAATTCTCTTTGCTTGATTCTTTATGCCACATGTAGTTTTTTGTTTTTTTTGACCCCAATCTTCATGGGTGTCACTTGCTATAATATAATACCTTCAGCCTTTGGAAGCCTTCAGCAAGGGCCTTGTGCTTTTCTGTGGCATTTTAGCTATCTTCTCCCTATAGCCATCTCTTTTTACCCCCTGTTACTTCCTGCAGTTTTTGATGGGTTGTTTCTTTCAAAACTCCTGTAGTTTTTCTGCAGGCTCAGCTTTTTATCTTTTCACTCTTATGTTTATAGTGTATGGCAGAATTGAAAGCTGCAAAGGAAGTAACTAAGATATGTAAAATGTCTTCATGTCTTCTTAAAAAGAAAGGAACCTATGCCAGTTTTATGTTCTGTAGCTTCTGCTTTTTTTTTTTTTAATGTAATTCTCCTGGATTCTGTCACTTACAGGATTTTTCTCTGTTATGGAACATATTTTGTCCCTTGCTTCTCCTCCATTGTGCCACTTCAGAAAAATAATTACTGACAATGATTTAGTAGCTCTTGTTCTTCTTCCATACTTCAGCTTAGATGTCACTTCTTCTGGGAAGGTCATTACCAACCTACAAGTTTAAGATAGCAGTGTTCTGTATGTTTTTGTAATCTCTACCCTGGGCCCCCTCTCACAGCACTGTCTTAATATACCACATTGCCCATTTCCTGATTTGTAGTTCCTGTTACACTATAAGCCTTAGGAGGAGTGGGACCAATCTCTTGTGCACCGTTTTATTTCCGTATATTGGCTGACTGACACATCTGTAGGTCTGAACTCTCTCCTGAGTGTCACACTTAAAAATCAAATTGCCTAACAGACTTCCAGGCTTTTCTCCCAAAGGCATCTCAAATCACCGTGTTTAAATTAATACTAATTTTTCTTTGTCTGAGTAATTCTGTCTAGAGTCTGTGTGTTTGCATGTGTATATCACTATATTATTATTTCCTTTTTCTGTCTCCATTGCTAGACGGAACTGGGACCATGTAGCCCTCTTTATGCCATTAGTACCTGACACAGATACGCTCAATTCATTTTTTGTTACGCTGAACCAAGCAACAGAAGTTTTGACTTTCAGTCTAGAATTTACTATTGCTAGAAGTAATTTCTTCATTTTCATCATTTGGTTTCTGTGTTGATAGATTCTGCTATTAAAAAAAGTCATATGTAAAAAGGAATCATCATCATTTGGAGTAAATTTTATGGATTGAATAATAGAATAATAGAATATTTTTTAAACCTTCCTTTAAACCTTCTTTTAACCTTCTTTTAAAGTAGTAGTTTTTACTGGTTGTATCATGGGGATAAAATTTTCACAAATGTGTAAAAGCTCTACAAGTCTGATTTCACACTTTTGATCGAGTACAGTCATTAGTCGTACTGAATTTGTGAACTTTGATATACATCTTTGTTCCTAATTCTTTCCTTTAGGTTATTATCGCACTGAGAAAGATAAGGGCACACAGTATGAACTATTTTTTAAGAAAGCAGACCTTATGGAATATAGACACGTGACTCTTTTTCGCCCTTTTGGACCTCTCATGAAAGTGAAGAGTGAGATGATTGACATTACTAGATCAGTTATTAATATCATCGTGCCACTTGCTGAAAGAACTGAAGCATTTGCACAGTTTATGCAGAACTTCAGGTAATTCCCAGAGCTTAGTGATTGCTCCTAAAAAAATAAAAACACATTTCATGCCATTTTATTTAGTTTACCTTCACTGAGTAGGGTTACTTAGAATCGCAGAATAATTTTATAGGCTTTGGGGAACTTTATGTTTTTAATATTCCCTTTATTCTTAAGGCATGTATAGTATATTGTGTTATTGACAGTTTGAACTGTGGAGTAAATTGAGGGTGACAACTATTAGGAACTAAATTTGATTACCTTTATAATTGTGTTTTAATTCATTTTAGGCCAAGTTGAATTTTTAAAAATAACTTTATTGAGGCGTAACTTATATACAATAAAAATGACCTATTCCAAGCATACAGGTTTCATGACTTCTGACAAATTCATACATTCTTGTAACTGCCTTTCCAATTAAGATATGGAACATTACTATCTCCTCAGAAAACTCCACTGAGAAAATTTGAATTTCAAAATTGGAAGAAAAGACAAATATTCAAGTAAAAATGGGAGAATGTTATTCCATCTTGGGAATCAGAGATTGTAACGGTTTTAAAAGCGTTTTTTAAAATTATTAAATTTGGATATTTTTATATGCTGAAGTGTTAAAAATTAACAACTACATATTAGAGTTTGTATTTGAGAAAAAATTTGTTTTTTTAATTTAATAATTGTCATGTTTTTAATACTTTAATATGATAGTCTTAATTCTATGTAATCCCAATTTTTGTTCTCATTGGAGTTGTTGGATGTGAAAACTAGTTAACACAATTCTGTTGCAGAACATCTGGAAATCATGCTTCCAAATGAGTTTTGCCTTTTTGAAGTTTCTTGCTTGAGATCTGATTTCCTAAAGCATTTTTAATTGCCTTTTTGGAATTACCTTCAGATGCTACATTTTTCTTTACAGTTAATAATCTCAATCATGACAAATATTTATTCCTTGATGATAGGTATAATTTCTCTAATTAGGTAGTCTGAGGACAAAATAAGTTTTGAACTAAAACTTGAGTTATTTATTTGATTTTGAACTGATTGAACTTAATTCTTTGAGTAACATAGTTTGCTTCTGAAGGCAATACCAAACCTAAAGTTCCAAAAATGTTTCAAAATATGGCAGCTTCTTGGGCTGCTTACATTGGCTCTCCCAAGTGTGTTGCATTCATTTAGACATATATGCTGTTACACGTTTGCTGTGATGCCTTTAATAATTCAGCAATGTTGCCAGTTTTATATTTCCTTAGCTTAGTGTGATTTTGTTCTAAATGAGTAATGCTTTATTGTTTTCTTGTAAAGCTTCATATGATTGCCTTCTGAATGAGTAGTGCCTTCTATATTTTCCTGAATGAACTTTATTTTTCAACCCTGTCAGGAATGTATGTATTCATCAGGACAAGAGAATTCATCTCACAGTGGTGTATTTTGGTAAAGAAGGACTTTCTAAAGTCAAGTCTATCCTAGAATCTGTCACAAGGTTGGTGAGCCATGTCCACAATTGAAGTCTTGTATGTACAATAGCAGAAGAATGAGAATTTCAGATACTGAATGAATTAATAATTTTGAATAGTTGCTGCTGAAAGTTGGCTGAGATGTGAGTGGTGGTGGTAGTTCCTCATCTCACCCCTGAGTTTATTCATGCAACTCTAATGACTCGTCTTTAACCTCGGTGTGGCATGATTAGGGTGCTGTTACTCTGTGGCCCACTCACCTTCTCTGTATTTGCCTCCATTCACTCTTCATTTCCTTCTTTGGAACTCTTTACTTTTTTCTAAATCTAGTCCTTTCACTTTGATATCATCTCCTAAGCTTGTCTCTTACTTGCCATCTTTCTTTCCTTCCATTTTCCTAAGTCCTTTCTCTCCCTACAAATGATGCTTAGGTCTCCCCTATCCTTCAGAGACCCCCACCTGACTGTGCAGTACCCAGTAACTACCATTAGGTTTCTGTCCTTTCACAACTAAACCTCACAGAACAGTAGTTCTCTAACCAAGCAACTCATGTAGTACCTGGCACATAGTAGGTGCTCAGAGGTTTGAATGAATGAATTAGTCATTCCTTAATACTCCTTTATTAATTCTGTAGCTTCTCTTCCTTTTCATCTCTAAGTTATGGGCCCAGAGTTATGACCTAACTGCCAATTTCAGCCTTTTCTCTGACATCCTCTTTGACTGCTTTCTTACACTTGCTTCCTAACCAGTATTTCCTTCTTGAAACTCTCCTCTGATGTTTGTAAAATGTATATATTTTGTAAATGTAGATATGTTATAATGTAAGATACTAGGTTGATTGTCTTTTCTGACCACATCAACTCTGTATCCTTTACTTGCTTCTTTACCTTTCTGCTAGTTGTGGCCACTCCCTAAGAGTCCAGCTTTGTCCGGCCTTTCTTCTCGAGTCGTTCAACTAACATTCATTGAGTCCCACCGACTATGTTTCAGGTACACTGCTTGGGAGTCTGACTGGGGTGGTTGGGATAGGACTGGGCACAGAGGAGGGAGTGCGCTCCCTATCCCAAAGGGACTCACAGCATTGGGGTATGAAAAACACTGTCTTCTCCGTCCCCTTCGCTAGCTGCTGCTCCTGATGGCCCTCTTTCAGTTCACACTAAGCTCATTCTCATAATGCCTGGGCTTGATGTCTGAGAGTAGCATCTTTCACTGATTCTTTCCCTCTAGTCAGTCAGTTTCTGCGCATTGCCCAGGACCTCTGCTCTGTCCTTTCCTCGCTGCTGCCACCACCTTAACCCAGGTTCCTTTCCCTCCTTACCATTTTCAGATTACCTACTAAGTGCCAGTGACTGATGTTAGTATCACAGAAGTTGCGTTAATCAAGACTCCTCTGTGGCAAATGATGGAAACTTATAACTTATTTTTAATTTAGTTGAGGCAAATGGGAGCGTTATTGAAGAATCTTGGATAACTCCCCAGATTAAAGGGATTATTAAAACCAAATTTAATGAAGAATACCAAAACAGCTTTGGTGTCTCAGTGACTGGGGTCAGAGATTTGAATACCATCAGAATTCTCTTATCTTCTTATCTGTTTTTCTCTGCATGTTGACTTCATTCTCCTGTTGCAGATTGGCTCCTTCCATATATGAGGTATATGGCTGTTGGCGGCTCTGGGCTCACATCTTCTCAGCTTTGCTGTTAGAGAGGAAAGAGCTTTCTCCCAGGTCCAGTTGAGAAAATCCCAGAGAAGGACTTTTGCCCAGTCTTGAGCCAGTTACTATAGCCAGGTGGTGTGGGGGTATTTTGATTAGCCCAGCTTGAGTCTGGCTCCCTGCCCCTAGGAAGTCACTGTGGTTGGTACATTCTATGATTAGTTCCTCCACTTGATCCGGGAGTGAGAGGTGGTGATTGACAGTTTCCTCAAAAGAGGAGAGAGATCTGCAACATGTGGGGTGGAGGGGGATGGGCACTTAGAGTCCACTCCATGCCTTGTTTGAGCCTTGGCATCCATCTCTCCAGTCCCCATTCTATCCTGTTGTAAGAGTAATCTTTTAAAAATGTTCCTTTTTTGATCCAGCTACCCCCTAGTGCAGCAGTTCTCCAACATCAATCACCTGGGAGTGACTTGTCCCGAGAAAGTCGCAGATGCTTGGCTCCTTCCCTAATATCTGATTCAGTGGTCTGGGGTGGGGCCTGAGAATTTGTGTTTCTAACACTTTCCCAGGCAGATCTGATGCAGTGGGTGCAGTCCCTTGGCTGTGGAAACCACTGCCCTTGTGGAAAAACTCTGACTCCTCCTTGACTTCAGAACACTAACCAAGTTCTTTAACGTCTCCTCAATCTGACCCTATTCTGGTCTTCTCTCATTGTTGCCATTTTTATCCCTGTGTTCCAGTCTGATTTGTCAGATTACTGTTCTTTAAAAGGCTTTCTACTTTCTTACCTCCTTGCCTTTGAGATTAATTAATTGGAATGACCTTTACATTCCCCACTGAATTCAGTATTTTAACCAAGGCATAACTTAAATTCTGCTTCTAACATCTTTTCTAACTACTACAGACACAAGCAGTTTTTTTGAATGAATGAATGATTCATTCAATCAGAAAATACTTATTGAACTCATACCCTATGAGGAGCACTGTGTCCATAGTAATGAACAAAACAAAATCCCTGCTCTCATGGAGCTTACATTCTAGTGGGAGACACTCGAACAGACATGTCTGGTGATACTGAGGGAAACAACGCTGGGCAGAGGGATGAAGATTGAAGCAAAGGGAGGTCAGGGCTACTTCACGTATGGTGTGAAGGGGATCCCTCTGATGAGGGCACATTTGAGCAAAGGTCTAACAAATTCGAGAAAAGAATATTCTTTGTATGTATCATTCATGTGGATTGCATTATTTATTACCAGACATTATTATTGTTTTCCCATGTGTATATTTCTTAACCTCCCCAATAGATTTTTAAGATCCTGAAAGGTAGTGGACTCTCAACACTTAATAACTTCACATCACTAGCATGTTGCCTCAGATGTGGGCATTTAGTTGAATATCTGTCCCTGATGATACAGACATTCAAAGCTGATGATTTCCCTACGTGAATATAGACCCAACATAATAAATACCTGAAGTGTAAAATATTTTTTGTAACTTGTGTTACAGAGTCAACTTCAAGTGGGACTTACCATTTGTTGTATGTGTTTTCCTCATAGTGAGTCTAATTTTCACAATTACACCTTGGTCTCATTGAATGAAGAATTTAATCGTGGACGAGGACTAAACGTGGGTGCCCGAGCCTGGGACAAGGGAGAAGTCTTGATGTTTTTCTGTGATGTCGATATATATTTCTCAGCCGAATTCCTTAACAGCTGCCGATTAAATGCTGAGCCAGGTGCGTAAAATGTTGGTAGGTGAATTGAGTGTAAACTTTTAGAACAGTGTCAGCACATTCCATATTTTGAATCAAGTTTTTTTAAGTTATATTTGGCATAATTTAATTGGAATATTAAGTAGGAAATTAAAATTTGCCCCTCTGAAGTTCATACCCCTTATTATTTTGTGGCCAGATTCCAGTGTATACATTAGAATCCAAATAAATAAATGCAACAAAATAAAAAGTCTTGAAATTGATTAAGGAGGAAGTAGAACGCATCAGAAAAAGCCAAGCAGTGTGATATATGTGAGTCAGAAGCACTCTTCCTCAGGCAGGTGCTGCCAACACTCATGTAGGCATGAACTCACGAAGAAGTCTAGGTACAGATGGTGCTTGGACTCCTGACTGTGTGTTTTGGGATGACTACTGACTGTACTTTATTTTATTTATACATATTTCAAAAATGTTAAGAGCAAATAACTTTTATATATCAGATATTATCCTAATGTGATAAGGAGGTTTTTCTATATTAAAAATTCTCATAGTGTATGTTTTTTATATAGAACTACTCAGATCATGCAGGTTATCTTCTTGCGAATCATTTTGGTTAAGGATGGTTGTGAGGAACTCTGAGACTCGGGCGGATAAATGAGAGTTAGATTTACTGTTTTTGCAGCAGATAGCATGAAGGCCAGAATGTGGTAGTTGAAGGAGATGTATTTGCTTAATGTAAAAGAAATATTTTATCTGAAGTATTTTATATACATTTTTAAATTGTTTCTTTAATGTAAAAGAACAATTTGCCTTGGGGAAATTGAGCTCCCCTCCCTACGTGGGTTTTTTAATGAAGATGAATGAAGTCTGCTGGGGATCTTGTATTGAAAAGACTGCCACATTATTTACAGGGTCCTTTGCAGTTTCTGAGCACTTTATATTACCATATCTGATTGAAGCCAATTTCAGCACGGTGTTCTCTGTTGAGGGGAGATGGGCTAGCTAGTGAGCCTTAATGGTCCCTTCGGTGCTATTTAAAAACTAATAACAAGGCCTTTTGACGGGTCATCGGGTACTTAAAACTCAGTCTTCCCAAGTTTTCCAAGTCTTGTTCAGATCTGTCTGCCATTCTATATTTTACTTATCCTCTGTACATCCATTGTACAATATCCTCTGGATTCACTGTTTCACAATTCATTTTGAAGGATGGATTTAATACATGTTTTGGAGTTTCTTGGTGATTAGTTAACCTACATCTGTTACTGTTAATTCAATGAAATAATGATTAATAAATGGCTCACCTCATGAACAGCTAAGAGAATACTTTTGAGCATCTCCTCAGAGTCAAGGGAATAAACATGTCAAAAGGGAATAAAACATCTTTTAGTCTTTTTTCTCTGTTCTTTTGCAGGGTTATAGTTTCATAGCCTGAATTACTGCTACATTGTAAAATCATTATCATGATCATCAACATGAGGTTTTAGTAACCTGAGCGTTGATAGAATGCAATATCAATAAAATAAAATCATCCTATGTAATAAAAACTTCAACAAAAGTGTAGTATATATTGCAATAAAGATCAGTGCCTTATTTTATTCTTTTTGTGATGTAAATGTATATTTTCATTTATAGGTAAGAAGGTGTTTTACCCTGTGGTGTTCAGTCTTTACAACCCTGCCATCGTTTATGCCAACCTGGATGTGCCCCCACCTGTGGAGCAGCAGCTGGTAAGACTTATTGTCAGTTACGAAAAGCCTCAAAGATCCTTGTTACGTTCCTTAATGTTTGTTTCACTAGTAGAAAAAGTTTCAGTTAAAAACTATAGTTACTATAAACACATTTTCATAGTGTACCCTCTTCCGTAACATGCTTTCATATTTGTTATTTCAGAGTTGTGTCATTCTGGCAGAGATGTTGGAGATGGGAGAGAAAAGTTTAGGCTGTAGAGAAAAATTCATGTTCTAGATTGTGAAAATTTTCTGGTCATTTCTACCAAATTACTTTTAGTGATACTAAAAATAAAATTTAATTTTAAAACCTTATTGGAAATTAAAACCACTAAATAAGAAGGAATAGTATACTATGGGAAATTACTTAGAAAGTCTTAGAATGGGAATGCCATATATCAGAACTTAACAGTTATTGACAGGTACACAAGTTTTGGGAAAAAAAAGTTAAACTTCTATGGAATAATTCAGATTTACAGAAAAGTTGAAAGAATAGTATAGGGCATTCCTATACTTCACCCAGTTTCCCCTAATGTTAGCATCTTACATAACCATGGTTTATTTGTCAAAATTAAGAAATGAACATTGGTAAGTTACTTCTAACTCCACTGTAGATTTTATTAGGATTTCACCAGTTTTTCTACTACAGTCCTCTTTCTGTTCCAGGATCCCGTCCATAGTACATTGCATTTAGCCTAATCTTTTATTGTTATTAATAACAGTAAGAACAAAAAGGAAACATATAAACTAAGAAGATAATTTAGCATGTTTAAAAAATGAAAAATAACTCCAGGAAAGAATTAAAGATAAAAACAGAAATTAATGAACCAAAAATAATAGGCTACCACACATAGGAGCTTATTCTTTATGTGCAGGAAAAAACTAGTCATAAAGTTAGGTGAATTCAGGGTATAAAAGAAAACACAACATGGGAAATTAGAATAAGAAAACATTACAAGAAATCAACCTCATATAGTAAGTTTTTAAAAATTCTAAATAGGAAAAAAAAAAATTCTAAATAGGAATTGCCTGGTGGTACAGTGGATAAGAATCTGCCTGCGGATTCAGAGAACATGGTTCGATCCCTGCTCTGGATTATTCATGCCTCAGAGCAGCTAAAGCACACGCTGCAGTTACTGAGCGTGTGTATTGCAGCTGCTAGAATCTGTGCTCTGCAACAAGAGAAGCCAGTGCACTGCAACGAACAGTAACCCTCACTGACTGCAATAAAGAAAGGCCACACACAGCAATGCAGCACAACCAAAAAAAAATCTAACTAAAAGGAAAAATTTGAAAGTTTATAAAATATTAACATGAACTAAATTCGTTTTAGTATTTTATAAAAGCTCATCTTAGTATTCTATAAATTAAAGAGGTGGAAGCTCTTAAGAGATTAAGAGCAACTAAAAATATAAGAACAGTTATCAAATAGTTAACCTCCAGATATATATATATACATACATATATATATTTCACTGTTGAGTTTTTCCAAACTTTCAAAGAACAGATAATATTAGTACCATGTCATCTGCCTGCCAGGCTCCTCTGTCTATAGGGATTCTCCAGGCAAAATTACTGGAGCACGTTGCCATTTCCTCCTCCAGGGGTTCTTCCCGACCTGGGGATCAAACCCAGGTCTCCCATACTGCAGGCAGATTCTTTACTGTCTGAGCTACCAGGGAAGCCCATCTTCATACCAACCCCTGGTAAAACATGTGTACATAGCATACACATACACAGATGTCTACTTTATCTGTAGGACGGTATTAGGAATATAGGTAGAGTTAGTCAGTTCAATCGCTCAGTCGTGTCCGACTCTTTGCAACCCCATGAATCGCAACATGCCAGGCCTCCCTGTCCATCACCAACTCCCAGAGTTTACTCAAACTCATGTCCATCGAGTCAGTGATGCCACCCAGCCATCTCATCCTCTGTCGTCCTCTTCTCCTCCTGCCCCCAATCCCTCCCAGCATCAGGGTCTTTTCCAGTGAGTCAACTCTTCCCATGAGGTGGCCAAAGTATTGGAGTTTCAGCTTCAGCATCAGTCCTTCCAATGAATACCCAGGACTGATCTCCTTTAGGATGGACTGGTTGGATTTCCTTGCAGTCCAAGGGACTCTCAAGAGTCTTCTCCAACACCACAGTTCAAAAGAATCAATTCTCTGGTGCTCAGCTTTCTTCACAGTCCAACTCTCACATCCACACATGACCACTGGAAAAACCATAGCCTTGACTAGACGGACCTTTGTTGGCAAAGTAATGTCTCTGCTTTTTAATATGCTGTCTAGTTTGGTCATAACTTTTCTTCCAAGGAATAAGCGTCTTTAATTTCATGGCTAGAATCACCATCTGCAGTGATCTTGGAGCCCCAAAAAATAAAGTCAGCCACTGTTTCCACTCTTACCCCATCTATTTGCCATGAAGTGATGGGACCAGATGCCATGATCTTAGTCTTTTGAATGTTGAGCTTTAAGCCAACTTTTTCACTCTCCTCTTCCACTTTCATCAAGAAACTTTTTAGTTCCTGTTTACTTTCTGCCATAAGGGTGGTGTCATCTGCATATCTGAGTTTATTGATATTTCTCCTGGCAATCTTGGTTCCAGCTTGTGCTTCTTCCAGCCCAGCGTTTCTCATGATGTACTCTGCATATAAGGCAATTAAGCAGGGTAACAATATACAGCCTTGACGTACTCCTTTTCCTATTTGGAACCAGTCTGTTGTTCCATGTCCAGTTCTATCTGTTGCTTCCTGACACGGGGTCTGGGCATCCACATCTGCCTTATCTGACACTCTCAATCCTTTGTAGAAATAAATTATTAAAAATGAAAAGCCATATTAGTATTGGAGAATGAGAGAAGTGCCATTGGGAGATCTATTTTGAGAACTTTCTATAAGATGACAATAGTTGTCATAGGATTGGTTACTGGAGGAGAGAGCAGTCTGGAACATATTTAGGAGAACAGTGACAATGAGGTTGCCTTGCATCCTCTGAGCTCATGGAAGACAGGAGTGGTGGAGTCTGTGTGCTTCTCTGGGAGGTGTGCTGAGCAGCAGGCATCACAGACATTGACCCACAGGCTGAGGAAATATGTTTGGTCCCTGGAGCTAGAGAGGCAGGGTAGAGCCCTAAGATTACCGATTGTAGGGTGAATGGGGAGTCCCAGACTCCAAAGGTGAACTGCTGTTGGCACATTCTGTCCAAGACCATGTTTAGCCCCTTCTTCACTGTTACTGGAGATAGACCTTTGTAATCATAGCTAACAACCATGGTTTTTGAACAGTGATTTTTGAAACAAAAATGAGAAGCAACTAACCACAACCAGCCAAACAGTTGAGGAAAACTAACACCATGAAAGAAGACCAAATTTTAATAAATAGAAAAATTGACATGTGAGTATATGAATAGAAATAGAAAACAACTTTAACTTAAATATATCTTTAAGGAAATTAAAGAAAATGTTAATTTCATAAAATTATTAACATTTGTTACTAAAAATAGAACTTGGAAATTGCAAAAATATTGAACTCAATAAATGGGCTGACTAGCAGAATGATCACAGTTGAAATAGATTTGTAAACTAGCAGACAGGCCAACTGGACATATAAAGACCAAGAGGCAGTGTGAGAGAAAAATCAAGATATGGGAAATCAGTTCAGAAGCTCTAAGACTGTTAAATAATTGGAGTTCCGAAAGGGAGAGAAAAAAGAGAACAGAGCAAGAAGGAAATAGAAGAAAACATCAAAGAACTAGGGAAAGAGAAGTCTTCTGGCATTTGAGAACAGAAGAGACAATCCTGATAGTTCCCAGAGATGCTCAAAGTAGCAGAATCTAGCTTATCTACAAAGGAATAATAATCAGGTTGGCACTTACAGCCTTTGTGATAATATTGATACTAGAAAATACTAAAACAGTCCCTTGAACATTCTAAAGAAAAATAACTTCAATTATAGAATCCATATTTGACCTATTTGAAAGCAAAGTAGATATTTTTGAACACTGAAGAACTCAGTTTAACTATTTTTCAGAGGCCTTTTCTAATTCAGCAGAATGAAAAATGAACATATTGAAAGAGGAAGACCTAAGAGTAAGAGTGGTCAACAACAATAAGAACCCAGTAAAACTTCTTTAATTAATTTCTTTAAATAGTTGATGAAACACATAATAAAAAAAGTTAAAAAGCAATTTAGGATTAAAAAGTCAAAAGGTATATACATAGTATACATATGTGTATTACCTCTGTCCCAAGATACCCAGAAGCAGTGACATCCTTAGAGTAATAACCATGCCCAGCTCCCAGATCTTAGTGCTGAGATGGGTAATGGAGGAGTCCAGAACATCTTGTAGCTCTAGAAAAAAAAGATGATGGTAGATGTCAGAGGGATGTAAGACCCTGAAAGAGCTCCCAGTGGCAAAGCTGGAACAATTTGAGCAACAAACTAGTACTGGATTATAACACCAGCATAAAATAAATATCATGAGTCCATTACTGATATGAATAACTTTGTGAGTGAATAAGGAGATAGATAATAATAATAAATGACAGATTGATGGGTTGATTAGATTAGATGGGGGGAAAGGAACAGATCTTCCCACAGAATTTTAAAGAACTCTTGTAGGTACTTCCTTTTCCACAAGGTGGAGCTAGGTGATTCACTTCCAAAGAAACAAGTAAGAAAAAAAGAAAACTTTTTTTTCTTAACTTTTCAACAGAGAAACCTACCTGGCAGGCACCACCTTAAACTAAATAATGAAGGTTAACATCACTAGTGTTGTACCCCCCACATATGATGTAACAAGAAGGGCTTGTCACCCTTGTGGTCTTTCTTCCAAAACCCTATTCAGTTCAGTTCCGTTCAGTTGCTCAGTCGTGTCTGACTCTTTGCGACCCCATGAATCGCAGTACGCCAGGCCTCCCCGTCCATCACCAACTCCGGAGTCTACTCAAACTCATGTCCATCAAAAACCTATAACCCCAGCCTAAATCATGAGAAAAACTTC